TGCGCTGAGAATGTAGAATAGCTTAAGAGAATAGCAATATGAATCCGAGAGTACAAGTTGTAATTAATCCGGGCAGCCTATCAGTAATTCCCGGTGTCTTCTATATGCCTATGGATATTCTACTCAAATCCCTAATGCGCAGAGACACAACAAATAACACTTGAAATATGATTGGGAAGATTTAGGATTGAGGAGTAAGAAGAGGAATGCACTATTTATCCATTGCTTAACCTGCTCCTTATAGACGACTTGAATGGTATGCAATGATATAAGTCATCAGTCCTTCACTAGGTCAATAGCGAAGAATTATTTTGTATAAAATTTGTCCTTGGATAGGTCAGAGGCAATAGAATGTGATAGTCTGGCTTAATAGGGATGATAGACTACTCATATCAATAAGGAATTCCTTCTTTTCTGAAAGCCCATTCGGACAGAACTCCAAAGTTAAGCGTGTTCAGCTTGATGTAATTTCGGGATGGGTGACCGACCAGAAAGTTGCTCCCGAGTGCGCATGAGTGAGGATAAAGTGCGCAGAAAAGACTAGTATTGATCTGTGAGACCATTCTAGATCCCGCCAGGAGTAACGACCATCGGCAGATGTGTCCGGTGTGTTACAAGTTGGTATCAGAGCCGACCCTCGCGGTTACACAGATGTTTGCGGATAGTTGCGCGGTCATGTTGTGCATGACGTTTGTGACCCATCATGGCACACGACATGGCACATGTGCCGGACTGGAAGCACAGACGTATGTGCCAAGATGGAACGTTCATGTGGCCCGACGAGGACGTCGGTTCCTCTGAGTGAGGATGTATATGATAGCCTCCCTTAATAGGGATGATAGACTACTCATATCGATAAGGAAATCCTTCTTTTCCGAAAGCCCATTCGGACAAAACTCTAAAGTTAAGTGTGCTTAGCTTGGAGTAATTTCAGGATGGGTGACCGACCGGAAATTTGCTCCCGGATGCGCACAAGTCATGATAAAGTGCACAGAAAAGATTAGTATTGATTTATGGGGCCAGTCTAGGTCCCGCCAGAAGTAATGACCACTAGCTTAGGAGAAGTTATGACTGGCTTAGGAGATTGTCAAATCATGTTGTAGTCACTAAAAAATCATACGTGACAACAATACATACTTTGCAAGATTTATACCGAGATAACATTTTGAATTTTGAAACATAGGAGAATGGGCATGAGCTCCGCGTCGCCTCCCCCGCGGGCGGCTCAGGAGGGCTCAGCCGCCGCCACCTAGTAACCGTCTAGCGCCCTTCTCCCCCTCCGCCACTGCCGATGGTCGGCGCCGGGCAAAGCCTGTGCGTGCTCCGACGGTGACGGAGGGTCTCTCCTCCCTCTCCCGGATCCTTGGTGGCACAGGCGTCCTGATCCGCGGGGTGCGGCCCTCCCGATGGTGTGGCGGCGGGCTCGCGGCGGTGCACGAGCGCCTAGATCCATGGGTGTGGGCTTCCTGGCAGCGTGCGAGCTCCCGGCAGCGGCGGGATCGGTCGACGTTGGGCTTGGGCAATGGCGTCGGCTGCATGGTGGGATCTTGTCGCTCGTGGGGGATCTCGCCACTCCGGCCATCGTGGAGGAACCTGGACCTAGGGCGGCGGCCCCGTTAGGCATGGCGACGGTGTCCTCGGCTGGCGACATTCGCGGGGGATGGATGGACGGCGTCTTGACCGCGTGGGCGGTGAGTTGCTGGTGGATCTCTTCCGCGCTGCAGGCTCTCTCCCGCTGCATTTGGTGGCTTACGATCGCGGTCGTTGGCCTCGTTGTGTTCGCGGGGGCTGGTAGAGATGACATCGGACCGGAGAAAACTCTGGATGACTCGTTCATGCCGACGATGGCGACGACCAGGGTCGCCGTTCTCCTCGCAGGCGCCACCGAGGTCCCTGCCCTCCACCCCGACCCCATGCCTGGGTGAAAACCTAAAATCTTCTTAGATTGGGCGGCGACGGCACTACGTGTGTCATACCCTTCTTAAAGACGCCACCTGAAGCGTTTGGGTGCTCGGTTAGAGGAATTGCAGGCGGAGGGGATGGGACCAGTGGAAACAGATGGTGTTCACGACGGAGAAGCGGCGTGACATCTGGCACATCGGCCAAGTGTTTTGTATAAAGCATCCATGTTTGTGTAATGCAGGAAAAGGTGGCTCTAAGTCGTGCTAAATATTATCTTATTGTATGAACACCCTTGACTATCCCTACAAACCTCCAGGCTCCGACGAGTTCTCCGATGAGAGGATGCCCGTTTTCGTTACCGATTCACTCACTTGATGAGGTACAGTCGGATCTAGTAAGGTTCATATGACTTTACGAGTAATGACCATGAATTTCTTTACCACAAAAAGATGTCCATGAATCTCTTATTCAATTACGGCTAGAAGAGGCTCATTTTTTTTTTGCTAGAAGAGGAAAAGACAAGGGTACTCTTCGCAAGAAAGACTAGGCTTTTGTGTTCCTCTTTCCTACCTGAGTTGTTCCAAGAACCAGAGTGTTCTAGATTCAGAAGCAAAGTACGAAAGATAAGCTTGTCTGGCTATATTTGCGATTGAATGAGCCAACTAAGTTACTACTCCTTCCGTAAACTAATATAAGAGCGTTTAGATCAATACTTTAGTGTTCTAAATGAACGTTTAGATTAATACTTTAGTGTTTTAAATGCTTTTATATTAGTTTACGGAGGGAGTAGTTTATTATTTCGGTTAGTTAACTAGCCGAAGTTCTAGTTTACATGAAAAATCTCTCAAGTGTTAACCAAAATCACCATGCTGTTGTGCGTACCATGGTGCTATTTATGTATCGATTCCTACGAGGAAAAAAATTCTTTCTCAATTTCTTATAGGCTAGCTGTGAAAGACAAATCTAGCGAGAGTAATTACTGGTGAGCAGAAGCAAGACCTGATGAGCTTCACTGCTCCTCCAAGTCCAACACTGACTCCAAGGTTCCTACAGATCACACACAAGAATGTTGTATCGGAGTATCGAATGGTTGGAGTAGGATTGCTTGATGTCCACTGAAGGACGAGGCAGATGGAAACTAGCTGAGGCTGTAGAGCAAAAGACAACCTCAGAATAGCGACATGAATCCTGGAGTACAAGTTGTAATTAATTCCGGTAACACATCAGTAATTCCCAGTGTCTTCTATGCCTAAAGATATTATATTCAAATCGCTAATGCGCAGAGACACAACAAAAAGCACCTGAAATGTGATTGGGAAGTATTACCATTGAGGAGTAATATGAGCGATGTGAAGCGCTATTTATCTATCCCTTCCTTACATTTCCTTGCTCCTTATAGACGACTTGAATGGTATGCAGTGATATAAGTCATCAGTCCTTTGCTAGGTGAATAGTGGAGAATTCTTTTGTTGTGAAACCTGTCCTTGGGTAGGTCAGAGGCAATAGAGATTATATGTCGTCGAGACAAACAATGGGCTTTATATGTCGTCGAGACAAATGTTGCACCTAGAAATGGCAAAGTTAACATTCCAAAGTTCTTGAAAAATAAAATCCAATGGCTAAGTTTTCGTTCTCACGAGAAAAAGCGAGCTAACTAGAACCATTGTCGTCTAGGTATGCTCATATGTGACCGCGGGGTCAATTTATCCTGATACATTTTGAAGAAACATACTTTATTCATTTACACAATCATAGTTGTAGAAATCTCAAGATTCTAGATTAACTGTGTTTTGCTTGGACATTATACTAACCTCTCGGACGGGAGTGTTCAACCGCTTGTATTGACTGGGGCTAGACAAACTATGAGGATCTCACTTGATTTCCGGCAAACTCACTATAGTATAAACATGAGTGTGATGGTTTGAACTCCGATGGGTGATGTCGAGTGCTTCTACTTGTCATTTTTCATACCAACAGGAAAACACAATCACACACATACGCACGTCTGCCTTTGAAACATGCTTCCAGCATTGATAGGGACCGAACATATATTCATAAATCACACCAAGTTTTTACTGAAAATACACATGTGTGTATAAATGTGGGCATAAGAAAAGAAAAAGGTCTCTCAGTCGTACCAAATAATCCTCTTTCATTGTATGGATGCCCATGACTGTCTCTACAACCTCGCCTCTTCGCTGCCGAGTCACTCCACTCGATGAGTTACACAGCTGGTGCAAACTATTTTTGTTCATCACAGAGTTTCTTGTATAGAAATTATAGTGAGAAACCGGTACCATGGAGTCTGAGAGACAGAGATCGATGCTTATGTGAAAGCAGGAAACCGTGCCCTGCATCTGCGTGCATGGTTGCAAGTTCATGATCCTGCCTACCTCGAGCATTTTCCATCATGCTGTTGTCGATGGCAACAACTGCTGATACTCCGAATGGTAAACGTGAATAATGGTGGAGTTCAGCCCACCAAACAAATAAGCTGAACACGACGTGCGCCAATGCTGTTCTTTGCCTTCTCCCGGGGATGCCAGTCTCTTAAACTCAACAACTAGCTGCGAAATGTTTTTCTGAACCTTGAACAGTTAAACCTCGGTTCAGCTATACCAACATGTCTCACCGTCGTGTAAGCAGTAAGTAGTACTGTATACGTATTATGCCAGCTGTCACTCTCTCCTTCCCCCATCTTCTCTAGAAAACTACAACTAACATGAACTCAAAAGATTTGAAGCGAATATATGAGCGTTCTACCGATCAGTTCTGTTTATATTCGTTTCTGCAGCTAGCTAAACCTGGATTCAGAAAGTTCTTGTCACATCCTGACAATTCCCCCCAGAAATGTTCACCACCATTTACACGACCAATATATGTTTGGTGGTATACTAGACTACTACTACTAATATAGTAATATGAGATGCAAAAAATAAGCACCGATATTTCTGATCACAGAGATTATCAGTCTGTTCTTCTCTTGGAGGACAAAAAAAACTCCGCTGTCCTGATCTTTTTGACATTACTGTCAGAGCAACAAGAGGAGTCTATTCTGAATTTCTGACAAGGCCTTTCTGACGACATGCATAAGCGAGTTACCCTTCCGTGACGGCTTTTCTGTTCTTCTTCCTCTTGACCTTGCGCCGGATCTTACCGCCGACGGCATCCCCTGGCTGCGGCTGCGACGACGACCCCATGGATTCTGCTTCTGCAGCGGCGGCTTCGTCCTCGGCGTTGGGCTGCATCCCCCGCATGACCACCGCCGGGAACACCCAGTTGGACACGAAGTAGAAGAGCAGCATGACGGCACTGCGCCCCCGAACACCACCATGCAAAGTCAGAAAACACAGCGACAAAACCAGAGCGCCAGCCGCGTACGCGGCACAGAGTTTACAGTCGCACTCGCCTGATCGGGATGAGCGAGGAGACGTCGCCGGTGTCGGCCGGCGAGCCGGGCACCAGCTTGGGCGCGAGGATCTCGCTCAGCTCCGGCGGCAGCGCGCGGAGCCGCCGCGCACGCCGCGGGAGCTTTGCTCCGGGACGCTGCGCGGTTGCGGCCGCTGCGCCACGGCGGGCGCCATTCCCAGCCGGAGCGGCGGCGGAGGCCAGGCGCCGGGAGCCTATCGTCAGAGTAGCCGCCTCCATGGAGACGGCACGTTGCGATATCTTCGAGCTGGAGAGGTTTAAGCTCAGGTGGCTCCTCGGTGTGCCTGCTTGGGTGAGGCGACGCCCCGATGCCTTCCGTTATGGATAAGGAACTCTGTCTGTTTGTTTTCCCGGCGTTTGGGTGTCAATTTTTATTTTATTTTTGAGAAGTGTTAGCTGAGGAATGGCAGCTGTGGGGCCAGGTCATTGGCGCACCACTTGGCCACCGACCGATTAGTTGTTTCAAATGACAGCAATACTTGCTCATAACCTCCTCGATGGTGTATCATTGATGGTTGAGTGACTTTATCCCAAAATTACGGATGGGTTTCTTGTGGTAAGACTTTAAATTCTTGTCCTCACGAAACCAAGTATGAATGTTGACCCAAAATGTTGCGTCCTTTTTGCTCCGTGCCATGGACCGGATCAACGCTAGTGGCCAACCACACATCGCACAACAATTTATCCTCCTTCATGTTGAAACTTTCTCCTCTACCCCTCTTCTTTCGATCGACCGACCATTCCTCTGAATTAAGGTCAACGTCGCCGCCCTACTCTGGTGGGATGGTGTATGAATCCGGTTCCTGGGTGTACGTGCCGGACTACTGGGTCTATGTGCCCGGTCGCGTGCCCTGCTAGGTGTACGTGTCGGACTGTGTGCACGTGCCCGACTGTTGGGTGTGCACCTTCAGCTTCGAGTCATCCGCTGGCCGAATCTCGAAACAACCTCTGCCACCGTCGTCGATCATCTCAAACATCTGCTTGTCCACATCGTCATACGCCAGTTTGCCCAGTTGAGACATATCGGCGAATAGAGAGCGGGCATCGAGATGATCCACGTCCGGCGTATGCGATCAGACAAGCTGCAGCGATGCCGACTCCACGAAATAGAGCAGCGCTGCTTGGACATCGACACAATAAGACACGTCCCCGGCGACGAAGGTCGGGGACTGCCGGCTGAGCTGCTTGGGGCCGTAGAAGTAGGGAGTTGATATTGCTCCAGCCAGGACGGCGTGCGCATGGACGGTGGCGCCCTACGTCCCAGACCCCGTCGGCCTTGCCTGCCACCCTTCTCTGGATCCTCCACCTCCACCATCTCCGACAGCTTTTCGTATGGGTCCACCGACGGTGGCGGTAAAAAAAGCGGGAATTGAGGTGGAGAGTTGCGAGATGGTAGCCGAAAGGGTGGAGAAGGGAGGGGGGTTGTCGTGGTAACAATGCAGACCGCTCCAAATGCATGGGCTGTGCCTCAATTTTGGGTAGGCCGAGCGTGTTAGAGTCTTATGTGGCGGGTGTCCAGACTCCCACAAAGCCCCCTGATTTGATTCCGGTGGTTTGGAGCATTCGGACAACTCGGTTTAGACGTTTGCGGGCAATTTCAGGGTCCGTGTTAGAGAAGCCCTTATAGGGAAAGCCCAAACATTTTGATATGTGAAGCAAAACTAGAGTTGAACCACGATACTTTTGCATTCATATACCAACGGACTTTGCTTTTTTTACCGGCAAAACACTATTGTTCCATTTTGCATGAAAATTATCAAGCATGCTCCGAAGACTAATATGAACATGTAAAAAAAAGTAGAATTTATAAAAAATCCTTGCGAGCACTATTTTGTTTTGAATTCATCCTCTTTATTTCTTACTCAAAACGCTCTTATATTATGGGACGGATGGAGTACCTTTTACACATTCCCACTACAGGCTGCCTTGTAACGAGTCCGATCTATTTCTCAACTTGGAGTAGGGGAAAGGAGGGGAAGGGAGTTGGTAGCAAGGAGAAAGGGGATAGGAGGCCGCGAGGAAGAACAGCTTCTCTTCGGGTGCGATTCAGTTAGTCATCCAACATGCCTTACAACTGGCCGGGTCCTGGCCTAAAATACCCACACCAACCCACTCGTCTACTCCTCACCCAAGTCATCCTTGACTTGGTCAGCTCCAGCCTATCCTTGGTCCTTGTGGTCGCTGCCTGCGGGTCCCGTCGCTTGGTCCTTCATGCTAGCTGTGGCGGTAGGCCCCATCATTACATTCTCCCCTCCTTGAGTGACGGCTTGTCCCCAAGCCGGTGCTGCCGGAAATCGATGACGGAGCTCACCAAGGTCTTCCCACGTCGCTAGGGATGGCGGTAGGCCGCTCCACGGCACCCGCACACGCTTGGTAGTGTGCTGCACACTTGCGTACTGGTCGTCGAGGATGCGGCAGGGAACCTGCAGAGCCTGCAAAGTTGCATTATCAGGCGGAATCAAACCTGCAATGGGGACGTCCACACCCACTGCCTGCTTCAGCTGAGACACGTGCACCACGTCATGTATTTTGCTGCCCGCTGGTAGTTGAAGCTTGTACGCCACTGCGCCGATGCGACCAATGATTTTGTATGGCCCGTAGTATCGGAAGGCCAGCTTCTGGTATGGTCGCTGCGCCAGGGACGTCTGGATGTACGGTTGTAGGCGAAGAAAGACTGAATCCCCAACCTCAAACTGCTTGTCTGTTCGGTGTTTGTCCGCTTGCCTCTTCATTCTGTCATGCGCTTGTTTCAAATGTTGTTGGAGCAGTTCATGCATCACCTCTCTTTCCTTCAGCCAAGCTGCCAAGTCAGGTACAGTGCATTCCTCCACTTGAATCACCCCAAACTCCCTTGGAAAGTGCCCATAGATGACTTCGAATGGTGTACGCCCAAGCGCCGAGTGAAAGCATGTATTGTACCAGTATTCAGCCAGGAAGAGCCATTTAAACCAATTCTTGGGGCAAGCATGCACTGCACACCTGAGGTAAGTCTCCAGACACTGGTTTACTCGCTATGTCTGGCCGTCCGTTTGGGGGTGGTACGATGAGCTGAGCCGTAGTTGTGTCTGAGAGAGCTTGAAAAGTTCCTGCCACACACTGCTCGTGAAGATGCGATCCCGGCCGGAGATAATTGCCATCGGCAAGCCATGCAACTTGTATATTTTGTGCATAAATAGAGTCGCCACCTGCAGAGCTGTGAATGGGTGTTTGAGTGGCAGAAAGTGGGCGTACTTTGAGAACTTATCGACGATGACCAGAATCACATCGAAGCCGCCCGAAGATGGTAACCCTTCGATGAAGTCCAACGAGATCACAGCCCATGGTTTCTTTGGAATTGGTAGCGGTTGGAGCAGTCCAGCTGGTGATTTGCGTTCTGTTTTCGCTTGTTGACAAACAGAGCACGAGTGAACGAATGCTTTGACCATGTCCTTCATTCCCTTCCACGAGAACAGCCGGCGAATTCGGTTGTAAGTAGCATGGAATCCCGAATGTCCCCCGATCGCGCTGTCGTGCAGTGATCTGATGATGCTCTATTGTGTTTCTTTGTCCTCAGCGATCCAGACCCGATCGTGCTCGCGGATGATCCCGTCCTTCAAGGTGAATCTAGTCTCACCATTGGGGTCCAATGCAAGCTAAGAGAGCCGCTGCCGTGCCACTGGGTCTTGTTGATATCCTGCCACAATTGCATCCAGCCAGACAGGGCGGCAAAGTGACACTGCGCTCAACTCCGCGGTCTGTTCATGCCTGCGTCGCGATAGTGCATCCGCCACGCGGTTCAGTGGTCCGGCTTTGTATTGAATCCGGAACTGCAGCCCGACCAATTTGGTGAACGCCCGTTGTTGAATTGGAGTGTTTAAACGCTGATCTGTAAGATTGAGTAAACTCCTTTGGTCTATGCGAATCAAAAACTCTGCATGTTGAAGGTATGGCCGCCAGTGGTCGATCGCCAACAGTAACGCCAGACACTCTTTCTCGTACGCCGATAGGCCAAGATTCCGTGGGCAAAGGGCCTTGCTCAAATACGCCATGGGGTGTGAGTCTTGCATCAGGACTGCTCCCACTCTAGTAGTGCTCGCGTCCGTTTCCATGACAAATTGTCGCGTGAAGTCTGGCAGTGCCAACACCGGGGCTTGAATTAGAGCTTGCTTGAGTGCTTCAAATGCCTCCTCAGTCATTGTCGTCCAGACAAACAGCGAATTCTTGCGAAGTAAGTCTGTAAGGGGTCAGCTGATGACTCCAAAATTCCTCACAAATTTCCGGTAGTACCCGGCTAGACCCAGAAATCCCCTCAACTCCTTCACCGACGCTGGCTGTGGCCATGTTGCAACTGCCTAAATTTTGTCCGGCAGCGTTGAGACGCCTTCGCCACTGACCTGATGCCCGAGATAGGATATACTGTTTTGTGCAAAGGTGCATTTGGAGAGCTTCGCTCGTAAATCGTTGGATCGCAGCAACGAGAGCACCTGGCGCAGCAAGATGACATGAGCTGAAAAGGTGGTTGTGTGTACCAGGATGTCATCCATGAAAACAAGGACTCCGTGGCGAAGTAAGGGCCCAAGTTGTAACGCCCTCAATGCGGCTATAGCTCCCACGTGTCGAGGCACGACTTAGAGACATAACCGCATTGAAAGCAATGTCGCAAGTCAGGCAATCATTACAACATCCCATGTAATATATAATAAAAGGGGGAGATACATAGTTGGCTTACACTCGCCACGTCACATAAGAGTATATAATAACATCCATCATACAAACACTCATGGGCCGACTACGGTGCCAAAATAGAAAAGAACCCGACATGCGACAAGGCCCCGAATCAAACCCCAACTAGGCACCACTACTGATCATCAGGAAAGGACACGTAGTATCGCTGAGAGTCTTCGTCAAACTCCCACTTGAGCTCGTACTCGTCACCTGGAGCGGAATCACCTGGACCTGCATCTGGAGTTGTAGTATCTGTGAGCCACAGGGACTCAGCAATCTCGCACCCTCGCGATCAAGACTATTTAAGCTTATAGGAAGGAGTGAGGCAAAAATATATGGAGCTGCAGCAAGCGACTAGCATATATGGTGGCTAACTTATACGCAAAAGAGAGTGAGAAGAGGAGGCAAAGCGCGAGCGAGAATCTAGAAGAACAACCTGTGCAAGCATTACTCCAACACCGTGTCCACTTCCCGGACCCCGCCGAGAAGAGGCCATCACGGTAACACACCCAGTT